TGGTACCATTGGTTTGACCTTGGGTGGCGTTGTCAAGTTCAGGACAAGGTCACTTTGAATTTTTTAAATGGAACTCCCCATTTTTCATTAGATATTCTTATAGCTAACCTCGAGAGCTTTTCAAAACACTATAATTAAGTTCATTTTCATTAAGTACTTTTCAAGTTATAAGGCTTGAAAGTTACAGTACCGCCGGCATTAGCATTACCCAAGGTGTCCAACCGACGATTAAAACCTCTTGAATGTTGTTCAGGATTGTGCTCAGGAGGTTGTACTACTTGACACAACCAAGATTGCATACGATATCACTTTAATTCAGTAATTACGGCGAAAGTAAAATATTAACAACTATCAGGTTAAAATGGTATGTTATTATATCCAATAAAGAGCAAATCGATAATGAGATAACAAAGAAAGCACTGTTCGTAAGCGACATACCAAATGATAAAAGCATAAACAATGTAAGCACAATTTATTGTGGATCATATCATCATATGTAATAATACAATAAATAAATCAACTTCTATAGAATATTATATTATATATGCATGGTGCAAAAATTCCATATTTGATTTTACATTTAAACCATTTACTTGTGTTTTAATATTTTGTTAAGAGTAGTTTTCTTTAGCAAAATGCTGAAAATTTGGGATGCCTCACTAGGTTCCACTCAAAATCACAAGTATCTGTATAAAAAAAAATTTAGATAAAATATTAAATTTATTTCCTTGGAAAGTCATGCGCCTCGAAGCAGAGGGAGAAGTGGGGGTGGAAGTCGTTTCACATGGAAGTCGTGCGCCCTCAAGCAGGAGGGGAGGTGGAAATAAGTTCCTGCTTTAAAAACAAAAATTATATAGGAAATTAATGTTTTCAAAGACAATGTTTGGTTTTGGAGCAGGAAATCTATTTCTTTGACCTTGACAATATATGTCAGGGTCAAAGTCATCGAAGGTCCGTTAATTCAATATTTACCAACAAAAATTATATGGGGAGACGCAGAAATGTGACGTTATTTCTTAAACTTCTTTTGTTAATAACTTTTTAACGAAGGGCGACCGCCACCTAAAATCTGTTGAAGGTCACTCAGGGTCATGACCTTAACAACACATGTCAAGGTCAAGGTCATTGGAGGGTGGTCCGTTATACTGCACATTTACCAAGAGACAATAAACCAATAGATTTTCGGTTATCGATGTTAACATGTGCTTTTTCAAATAAGAAAAAACCAGAGAAAAAAAAAGAAGAGAAAGTGACAGCGATTCACTTGTAAATATTAATATTATCTCATACTATATATTTATAGTAAATCATTATCACTAGTGAATTCATCACAATGGCAACCACCTCCCGGATACTATCCTAACATCGATTCTGGCTATCAACCTGGCTATCAAGGAACCCATGTCCCATCATACGGCTCTACACATTCCACCGCAATCATTGTTCCAGAAATTATTGTAGTTGGCGGCTGTCCAGCATGTAGAGTATGCAAATTTTTTATTCAAATATCGCTGTTTTGGTCATGCTTAAATTGAAAGTTAATAACATTTAAACCCAAAACAGATAGGAATAATGGAAGATGATTATACATGTCTTGGCTTGTTTTGTGCGATTTTTTTCTTTCCGCTTGGAATTATCTGTTGTCTGCTATTAAGGTCAAAACGCTGTTCAAATTGTGGAGCTTATTTTGATTAATTAAAAGTAAGTATTTTCTACATTTACAAATACAACATTATGTCATTCAAATTTAAAACAAGATATAAATGTAATTTAACAATCACTATTGTTAAGAATGATAAACAATTGATATTTGATCAGAATAAAATATTCTTATAGCTAAATAAGTTAATACATGCGTATAAAATAAATTTGAAATTAAAGAGTAAGATAAACGTACCAGTGTCCGAATATGTACCTATGTCTGGTCATTTACACAAAATTTATTATTATTAATCTCAAATGCTTTTTTTATTACTGTATTATAATTTTATTGCATTTAAAAATTACAATTAAATTATAATATTACGTTTTAAAAAGCATATTTGAGACCATTATTAACTTAAATAATTAGTGTTATGTAAATGTCCGGACATAGGTATATGCTACATGTCCAGTCACTGGGACCGGACAGTACCTATGTCTGGACAGTTCCATAAAACTTTATTTATATCGATAAACTAGAAGCCTATACCGGTTGAAGCTAGACCTTTTAATGCTTTAAATAATTTTTAATGTGAATTATATATATGCTATAACTTGTATATATACCTTATTTGTAGTCCTTCAAACTGCGCGCCGAATTTGGTTTTTCGGACTTATAAACGCAATTAAACTACTGGAATAACACGAATTAAATTAATTGACAATTTTGATGCACGGCATCATATTAGCAAGATGTTAATGTGCTGAAAAATTGTAAATAAATTTATTGTGAAAAATATTACTCTCCCTCGGCCGGGAGTTGAACCCGGATCTCTTGTATTCCGTACGAGCGTCCTAAGCCATTAGACTACAAAGGCACTACAAATAAGGCAGAAGGACTACAAATAAGGTATACATGCAAATTATAGCATATATATAATTCACATTAAAAATTATTTAAAGCATTAAAAGATCTAGCTCCGACCGGTATAAACTTCTAGTTTATTGATTGTGTTCTCACATATATACTCTTAAAATGAGATTTTTATTGTTTATTTATATAAATTAATATTAATCTCATTCTTTTTATCTTTATGACCAATTTGAATTAGTTGTCTTTTGTCATTAAACATCTATTTACATTAATTTCCAGTCAGCATACTAATTTTTTAATTGTGGTCGGACACCGAGACAATTATATCCCAGTGTCTGATCGGCTGTCCGCGGGTCACTGGTTCATTGACGCATTCTATTACTTATTTAAATATTTTAATTAATAATTGTTATAAATAGGTTCAAATAATTTTCCTTGCTTAAGTCTTGAGTTTTCAAATGAATACAAATATTTATATTAGAAACCTTTCTGATAATATAAATTGTATTATTTATAACAACTTACGCTTAAACGTCCGGCTACTGGTACATTTACCTTAAAAAACTTTAAATTAAAACAGTCTTATCGGTACGTAAACAAACATTTCGATCTTTATTAAATCCTTTTTAATGTTTAAAATAAATTCATCTATACATAATTTTTCAATTCCAATATATGCTAATTGTCAAATAAAACTATTGAACATTCGTCAAATTCTGCAATATATCTTAACAACTAAGTAAATATCTCAATGAGCAATTTACTCAATAATCTTATTAATTTGTAATTAAACTGTTCTAACTTGTTCTGTTTTAGTTGAATCATCGCATAGTGGTCTCAAAGCTCGAAAAGCTGGCTAAAATATGAAAGTGTTTTTCAATTTATACGAAATTTGATATCTAGTGATTTTCGAGATCACTAATTAGGATCGAATTCAAAATAAAAATTGTAAAAAAGGAAATGGATCTATTCAATATTAAATAGATATATAATAGAGTTGACCATATGTATAGCCAACATATGTAGAAGAAATGTTTGATGTAAACTAAAATTTATATCCTGTTCTATTTTTAAATAAGCGGTAATAAAATTCGAAATAAAAATAATTTTAATAAATAAAAATTTTTAATAATTTAAAAAAATTTTTATTGCATCCTGTGAAATTGTTGTTAAAACTTTGTTCTAAAGTTGTGCAATAATTTTTGCATAACTAGTTTCACATCTGACGTAATACTCTATTAAACTATGGACTGATGATTACGATTAACCGTTGCTCGATTTACTTCAACCAATCACAATGTAGTGAGTCCATCGTAACTGGTTAAAATAGAACCGAGCAACTGTCAATCATAATCGTCGACACCAGTCAAGAGTGTTGCATTGGTGAGCGATAGTGCAGCCAAGAGAAAACGCTATCGGATCATTCATAATTACACTTTTCTGAGGCATATTATATTCAATTGTAAAGGAAGTTTAGTGAAATACTTTTATAATAAAATTTTATAGTCAAAAGTTATTTATGATCAATAAAATTATTATTAATATTAAATTAATGATCATATAATCTAAAATTATAATCATTTGATTAATGAATGATAACACAGTTCGACAAAAATTGATTTTTTTTTCTTCCCATGAAAAATTCAAAGAGATTTTGAAAATAGATGTAAAAAAAGCATACCCGTGTCTCGGCACTGACTTCGACATTGCGCATTGTCGCGACCTAAACAAAACATACTAAACAAAGTGACGTGCAATAAGCAGCAATCAGAATCCAGCTCATTCCTCGATCTTGCTCAGTTTGAACAGTCGCGACCGCGACTTAGTAGATATAGGATTTAGTAGATGAAATTCCAAACTATACATTTAAAACGAAATTGAAAAAAAAAGTGAAGAAAATATTAAAATAAAAAAAAATGCAGTGTCCAAATCACAATAATTTTTATGTGTGTGGTTTATTTGCACCTCCAAGCCACATGCGAAATATTATAAAAAATATTTTGGCGGGATTTGAAGCCTATTTTCTTGTGACGTATACACCGAATTTATGGTACATGCCAGAAGTTGTGTGCGATTATTGTTATCGTTGTTTGTACGGATGGCAAAATAAATAAAATTAAATTAGTTGTTTTTTTTGTATTCGGACTCATCGCATAATTTCACATGAAAAAATGTCAATTATTTATTTTAAAAAAGTTATTATATAATTTAGAACAATTGTAAAAAGCCAATATGAAATACGATAAATGGCTGCATAAAAAACATTAACAACTTGATCTGATAAAACACTGAGACATGGGTCCTATATTTTTTTTACACCTACTTTCAGAATCTCTTTGAATTTTTCATGAGAGGGAACCTGTGTTGTATTGTGTAATGATATATCACTGATAATGAGGCTATTACATCAGTAAGGTAATAAATGAAAAAAAAATATATATATTATATAATCTTATTTCGTCCCAAAATTATTTATAAATTGTATAAATGTAAAACTATACATATATGATGATCACTAACTAAATAAATTACGCTTATCGTTTCAACATTATAGATAATTCTGAAATATTTGTGTGTTCTGGCATCAATATAATAAATCAAGAACATATGTATCATTTATTGTAAGACGATTGAATGCATACCACAAATGTAATCACAATATCACTTGCCATGTTTTGACCCGTAATATTTTATCCCATTTTTTGTCGAACATCTGGCATACTTTGTTAAAAGTGCATTAACATTCGTTATACCTTTTGTAAAACGACTAAAAGAAACGATTACATAAGATTTAAATTAATAATACCTTTGTATTTTTGTTTACTTACATAATATAAGGTGTTATCTCTTCAATAGTCCATTTAGCTTTAATTTCAAAAAGTTCGTTAAGTCTATCGTGAATGTTGTTAGGTAAGTCTGCCTCTGGACAAGATATGACTTCCTTCTGTACTTTTGAAGTATTATACATTATAAGGGCTGATCCACGTAAATATTCTTCTCTTGGCTGCATTTCTGAAACATCAAAAAATTATAAGTCCAAAAAACTCTATATCATTAAAATTTCCTAACTTAATTACATACTTTCAGGAGTTCCAATGTTCCACGTTTTCATGAATTCTTTATATTCAGTAACAGGAGAAACCGCAAGAAGAATTTTTGCTATCACTGCACAACATTTTTCTTCGTCAAACCTTCTCAAGATATTACATTTGAAAAACATTCTTACTCATGAAATTTTCTCATTAATCGCTATAAAATAATATATACCTATACAATAGACTTCCGTCATCCTTTGTCTTTGTGCTTACTTCTGTATACCTTTTGAATATAACATCAAATACCGGCTCATAAATAAGTTCCTTTGAATATTCATAAGTACTCTCTTTATCTACTTCATTTAATTCCCAAGACTGTCCTTCAAAATAATCTAATATCAAATTCAAGCTTCTTGCTTCTATGTCAAATGATACGAGACGTAAATAACCTTAACATAAAAAAGTCTTTAATTAGATGATATCATTTGTAACGAATATTATCTAATACAATAAAAAAAAGGATTTTTATTACAAACCATTTATTTCAGCTATTAAGAAATCCGACAGAGCCTGTTTCAACTCTTCATCACTAGCTTGTAACTCATTTTGTAATCTTTCCCAACTGTATAATGCATTTTGATCTATAGTAGATTCGTATTCCAATCCATTGAAAGAAGAAGAATTAAGCAGACTCGATAAACGTATCAGATCAGGTTTGGTTTCTTTCACCTTGAACATAAAAAATTACATTATATATTTTTTTCTACAATTCAATTTCATTTTAGACATCATTCAAATATTACAGAATACTATAAGCACCTCATAGTATAAGTTAAATATCTTCTTTACATTATGTCTCTCTATAGTTCTTTCTGCAACTTCTTTGATATCTGTTGCCTTACCCAGCTTTAGGTTTGGTACCAACAACCATGAATTTGATATCTCTGCCTCTCTGACCTCATAGGTACGAGTTTGTGTACATAGCATAGTGTTGTCATGTTTATTACCGCGAAATGATAGTCTATAGTCACGAAATTATATAATTTATAATCACTTTACTCTGCAGAATAAGAATTGCAATATTAACATTTAAAGAGGATCTCGAGGATCTATTTTACAAAACGAAAATCACAAATAAAAATTTGAAAAAGACATACGCATCTTCCTGATTTAGTCCCTTTAATATATCCTCGTCTACTTCCAATAATATCATATCATTGACTTGATCTTGCATAGAATATAGACATTGTGTCATAGTATTTAAATCAGACTCTTTAATCCCAGCCAATTCCAAGATCTCGCAAACATTCTCCTTAACACGAACGTTCCTTAACAAGAAGAAACATTGTAAAATTGATATCAAAAATATATATAGAAAATTCGTTTAATAATAATCACCGTTTATCAGCTAATTCCGTCAACAGACTGGCAGACTCCATATCAAGTTTAAAAGGAGATGGGCTTGCACACAAGTCAATGAAATTAACTTATTCGATGCGTTTTTGCATAAAATTAATGATGATAATAAATTTGGCAGAAAAAAATTCGTTCTGTCCCGCGAACTGAGATATTAATCGTATTAATCGTTGAGGTTAAGGGCCATGGCATACAAAAAAACTTAACAGTTGAGTCTGCTGAACGCGACCAGTAAAGCCCAAGTTACAATGGGCGCGTTCAAGTTGACAAAGCGGCTAGCCTGCTCGCCAAGCAAATGAACATAATTGGTTGTTACTTATAGATTCAACCAATCATATTCAATCGCTCGGTAAGCATGCCTAGCCGCTTTGCCGTCTTGAACTCGCCCATATTTCAGCAGACTCAACAGTTTTGCAACCGTTTTATGATTGTCTGCTGAGATAGGACCATTCTTCTAGATCTAAAAGTATGATCCAATCAGCTCGAAGGAAACTTCCAACAGTTGCAAAACGAACGTTCTGCTGAACGCAGCCATTGAGATCGAAGATTGAAGATTGAAATTTGACCAATGAGTGTAAAGGAATTTTAACTCCTATTGTTTTGATTGGTCAAATTTCAATCTTTCAATCTTCAATCTCAATCTTTAATGCGTAGTCTGATTCCGGCCTAACCGCTTTGCCGTTTTGAATTGCATTCAATAGGACTGTTCTTTTTGGCTGAACTTTTGCACCAGTTCATTTTTCTTTCTTTTCTCTTCAGGAGCAAAGAAAAAGAAGAAAGATGAACTGGTGCAAAAGTTCAGCCAAAAAGAACAGACCTAGTACTACGATCGCTCAATGAGCTCTTGAATCCATTTGGTCTACATTTTTAGTTCTACCGGAATGTGCCAATCAGATGCAAGAGCTCGCTGAGCTCTCAATGAGCTTTTGCACCTTGAACGCGTCTAATTTTGGATGTGAGAAGGCTAAACTCAACAATTTCCCTAAAAATAATGAAAAATTAATATCGTTACTTTTTCAAGTAATGGTAACGATAACGCGTTACTTTTTAAAATGAGTAACTAGTAATTGTAACACGAGTGTATAGTACTTTTAATGAAAAGTAACTGTATAATAACGCATAATTTTTTATCTCAACTCTGATTATATATAATATATACAATATATATTTATAAATTTATATTAATTCGTTATATCAATGTGATACCAAATTAATGTAAATTAGGAGAGAGATGTTAAAGCATGAAAAATCAAGATGAAAAAAATATAAGTAATAATTAAGATAATTCTATTTGTTTCTGTCTAAAATATCTAATATGATAATTATAGTCTTCGGAATCTGTCGTCCATAATAATGCCATGTACATTGTTAATATGGTGCCCAATAATACTCGATCTGCACTGTAAAAAGATTATATTTATCAAAGTTATTTTACCTTTTTTTATTTGTTTTCTAAACATGTTTTACACAATATGCAGAATTTGCTTAAAATAATAAATTTTCTTTCAATCTGTAAATATTGCACAAAATGTATTCTATAAAGGCACTCAAAATTATTTAGCATGGATTGTAAATTAATATTACTTAGTTTAAAAGAAGCAGATGCAAAAAAATTAAATTCAACTTCAATTTTACCTCATAACAGGGTAAATCCACAAAATAGTAAAAAATCCAGTAAAACTAGGATGTCTCATATGTCTCATATATCTGCAAAGCTCTCTAGATTTCGTATCAAGTGGACTATTTTTTTTAAACACTTTGTACCATATTTGCTTGAGCCCACAGAGCTCAGCAATGTCCATCATAATGCATCCACTATAAATAATACTCCAAGCAAATACATGGAGGCTGGAAAATATCATCCAAGCTGTCATGTTGGAAGTTTCGAACTTCCAGATTGTTACAGCTGGAGTCTGCTGCCATTTATTAATTAAAAAGTGAAGACTTGCCGAGCTGCAGGCATTGTAAATACTCCTGCTGAGATATTCAATGTTTAGTCTATAGAAGGTAAGTTTAGTGAGTTCATTGGTCATGATAGAGTGTTGAAAGATAAATGTTGTAATGAGTAACATATCTGTTAGAAGAGACCATAAAGTAGATTTGTCTGCATTGTCATCTGAAAACAATCGAGTTGTTTATACATATGCAAGTTTAATCTTATCAAAACTATTATAAACATTATTTATAACCCCTCCAAAAAAAAAAATATATATATATGCAAAAAATATAAGAATAAACATATTTCTGTATATCTTTCTTTTTTATTCTTAGTTTATAATAGTAATATATTATTAATAGGAAATCGCTCAAAGTTTGGAATCATTTAACAAAAACATACCTAATACTGTGTGTAAATTTTTATTATCTCCATGACTTGATAGGAAATAAGTTAGTCTGCACAAAATGTAGCAAGTATATACAAAACTGGAGGCGCCCACAATTACATTTAATATGTTCGAGATCATTTTCGAGAGATAAATGACATAAATGAGTGAGCTTGCATACAGACTGTTATGAAAAGTGTATTTTTGTACTTCGTTGTAATGTTTTGTTATGAAAAAGAGTATGTTTCATAAACGTGACATTCGTTTATAAATAAATAACACTATTTTTAACGACTTTGCATGTACAGCCATATACAATCAGAGCGAAACCCAAAACCTACTGAGAGAACATGATAGAGATGCCCCATTTCAAGGACGGTTTTATTTACATTTCCATAATAGAGCACTGTACAGCCAATACAGCCACAGAACATATAAATACAGCAGAGAGAAACCTGAGAGAGGATATGAGGGCCTTTTGGCTCTGCACACTTGACGCCGAAATGTTTGCCAACCAATCAAAGTACCTCTTTTCCATGAAATAGAAGAAAAGGAAGATTCTGATTGGTTGATTCTCTTAAGCTGGTTCTACATTAATAGCATCGCAGCGTCGTAAGCGTTGCGGTCCAATCAATGGCTGCGTTCAGCAGACTCAACAGTTTTGCAACCGTTTTATGATTATCTGCTGAGATAGGATCATTCTTCTAGATCTAAAAGTATGATCCAATTAGCGCGAAGGAAACTTCCAGCGGTTGCAAAACAAACGTTCTGCTGAACGTAGCCAATGATAGATGTGGCAACCTAACCAAAAAAACAGAACTCAAATCAGCTGACTCAGAGCATCACCTGGTGGTAATTCCGGGAACTTTTTGATCAAGGTGTTATTCCTGTTCCTAATAATTCCTCCATTGTGCGCAGGGCCTTATGCAATATGTAAAAGTCTGTGCTGCGGCCTTAATTCGAAACGCACCCCCTCGTTCGCTTCGTTGTCATAATATCACCTAACCTAACCCGTTGTGAGGCGGATTGTTGTAAGTAAGAACGTATCAAATATTTAATCCGCACCAGTCCGCACTAATTTGATGCGTATACTGACCGATTTAATGGTGCAAAAGGAGTCTACATGGTTGTAATATTTTATATGGTTATATCATCTCCTGACATTTTGCATTAATAGCACCGAAAAATGTCAGCGATGCTAACTGCCGATTGGTTTCCTCTGGGACGAGACGTATACTTTCGGTAAATGTACTCTGAGAAATTTATGTACATACTTTTCGACAAATACAACGTGTTTACACGATTAAGTATTGTATTTTTGACCAACAATCTGACACCGCTTGATGCATTGGCTGCGTTCAGCAGAGATAGCCAGCTTTGCAACTTGCACAAATGTATAAACTATATATTCTGTATCAAAATTATAAACCATCGTATCAAAGAATTTTACAATACTTGCAAAGCTGCTTTTTTTGCTGAACACAGCCACTGTTATTAACAGCATGTTACTGATTTTTATTATAGCAAATTTGAATTATATCCAATATCGTTCCAACACGAGATTTCCAACAACAACTTGATAGTAGCGGCACCATATGGAGGCTCCATCGCTGTAACAAGAAACCCTAAGAAACTTGTCAAGATCCAAGGAGCTAGCAAACCTTTAATATTGCTATATACGTCATCAGGAAAATTGACAGCCAAGTTGCAAGTGAGATCTCTTTAGTTTGGAGACTTTACGACTTTATTTTTATCTTTATTTCTTATTCTTTGCTTAATTATCTATTAGTGGAGCAGTGGACAGTTGATATCGTTTCGCTGGTCTCAACAAGAAGAATTGCTATGTGTGCAAGATGATGGCATGGTTCTCATATATGACATGTTTGGAACTTATCAGCATACCTTTAGCATGGGAAATGTAAGTTGACTGAGATATAAATCTTTATTTCATATCTTGTTTTATATTTTAAAATCATGAATATCTATTTTGACAACTTGATTCACCTATAACATAGCGTTGTATTGTTTTATTTATTTCTTTTTTATTTTTATTTATCTGAGCTTAAATGACCTCTTGTTGATCTTATAATTTTTGTTTTTCTTCAATTTATTTCATTTAATACACGTTTTATTTTTATTTTCTATCTATTATTTGTTTTTACATATATTTATTTTTATTTCTATTGTATGATTTCTTACAAGATAATATAATCCTTTGCTCAATTGGCTAATGAAGACTTAGTATAGTACCAAGTCATTGTTCTCTTGTAAGAGTTAAAACATATATTTACAACATGCTTATGCTTGTTATTTGACCCTCATTTCATATTCTCTCCTATTGTTTGCAAGAATCAAGCTTTAAGTTTATTATATTAATCTTTAATTATGAACACATTATCTTTTTCTTTTCAAGGCAGCCAAGGATACTAAAGTTGTTGATGCAAAATTTTTCATGACGTCTAACAGTACTGGGATAGCTGTTTTAACATCCACCAATCGTATATTTCTAGTGAACAACGTGTCTGAGCCTAAAGTCCGGCCAATCACTGATATACCAAGTAAATAATATATTTATATGTTCAATAGTAAGATAATATAAGACTGACTTAGATAGACGTAAAGTGATAAATATATCATAATCAGAAAGTGGCAATGATAAAGATAAAGATAGAGGTAGAAAGTAAAAGTAAATGCAATCGATAAATTAGAGCCCTATATTGGTTGAAGCTAGATCTTAAATGCTTAAATAATTCAATCTTGAATCACTAAATATGATATATATGTACTTGACATACTACACTTGTAGTCTAACGAACTGCGCGCCGAAATATTTCCGGACTAAACACAATTAAACCACTGCAGTAATTTCGCGAATTAAATTA